TAAGAGGATAGGGCAAAGAAGGTGCCATCCAGTTAGGAGAATTTAACCAGTCATCCATGCAGCAGCCTGAGCCAGTGACTAAATGGTTCTGCCGTAGAGCTGAGAGCGCTCTGCCAAAGGCCGTAGGGCCCCCCGGTGCCTCCTGCAGATGGCCGTGGAGTCCTCCTCCACTGTCCCACTTACTTTTGCCTCTTCCTCTGCCCAATGCCAGGGCTCTGCCACCCACTCCCTCACCACACTAGATCCCTGGATGTCACCCTTAACTCTGTCTCCTACTTCCCACACCCAATTAATTGTAAGTCCTGCCAGCTTAGTCTTCTACCCATGTCTCAATCTGCCTCATCTTTTCACTTGCCCTTTGTACACTTAAAACTCTTTTCAGATTCTACTTACCCACAATTCATTCTTTGCAGCTAATTAAGCTGAAGAAGCCTGGGAGTAAAGTTTGCCACAAATGTTAATAAAGTTCTTTGTAACACCAGCAGCAACAAAGCTTCTTCTTCTTCTCATTTGCTATCAGGCTTTTGAGGGCAACAGGCTGCAATGTTCTCCTTTCAAATATGCCATCACATTCTCAGCGTTCCTCCCTTACTGCAGATCTGCCAGGGGCTCCCTCGGCATTACAAGATGCAGTCCACTTCTCAGCGTGATGCCTTGGAGCCACCTGCCAGTGGAGGCAGCTGTCCCCCTCCTTCCTCCCCACACTGCATGCTCCCGTGCACACCCGCTTCTGGTGGCTGTGTCTTGGCCGGGGCCCGTGTGGCCCTGTCTGCAACAGCCCACTCACATTACACATGCTTCTTATGACTAACTCCTACTTTAGTTCACAACCTAACTCCAACATCTCCTCCTCATCCCCTTATCATGCACGCCCCCAAACGCACCCACAGACCTCTGAGCCCCTGTAATGCCCTGTGCTTGCCTATCATTTCACTTCTTAAATTGAATTAATGCTATTTTCTATCATCATGATTTCTACTTCGAAGGCAGAGTTTTGCGTTCATCTTTGTATCTTCACGCCCAGAGCCAAGAATAGAGAAAACTCTTAGTAAATAGTGACTAAATGTGTGAATGTCAAAGAAGAACCGTAGTGATGTTAAAGTTTTGGCTAAAAGATACAAGACTTTTCAGATAGAGAAAAGATGACTCAAGGAGGCGGTTCAATACGGTGGCATATGAAGATCCTGGACTCACCTCCTCCCAGGAACACAACAAATCTACAACTAAATATGGAATAATTTCCTCTGAAAAAGTCCTCAAAACTAGACGAACAGCCCTCTGCAACAAAGGATAAAAGGGCTACATAAGGACAGGTAGGAGAAGCAGAGACACGCTCTCACCTAAAACCATACCCCAGGCACAGCGATGCACAGTCAGTAGGGAATCTCAAAACCAGAAGAGGGTGGGATTTGAGCTGCACATCCGGCAGCTTAACCACTGGGTGATGCACCAGAGAGCTGAGCCCCCAAAACATAAAACCAATGAGGATTATGTCCAAGAGAACCTCAGAATTGTAGGGAACTGAGAACCTGCCTATACAGGGCTGCTGGGCAGGCCACTCACTCTGGGACACAGTATAAAAGCAGTAGTTCGAAAAGCACCTGGACCACACTTGAAGGAGCCGTATTTACTGACCTTCAAGTGACTGGCAGAGAGAGGCAGGAAACTGTTGCAACTCTCTCTAAGGACAGAAGTGCTGGTGGGCACCATTTTTGCTATTTTATTCCACCTTACTAATGTCCGCACTGGTAGATGCCATTGGCAATCTTCCTCAATAACCTGCTAGTGCAGGTGGGGGTGCAGCCACACCTCAGCCAGGTAAGTGTCCCACACTCCCACCCCGCAGCCATGTCCTGCCATAACTGGCAGGTTATGAAGCCTACACAGGGGTCACTCCTGAGGTGCATGGCTCTACTGGCCAGGGGCCCTGGGCTTCTAGGCCCCACAGGTCATCTCCTACACAAGGTCACTCCTTCAAGACTGGGGAGGTAGCTGTTTTTGCCTAATACATAGAAACAAACACAGAGAATCAGACAACACAAAGAGACAGATGAATATGTTCCAAACCAAAGAATGAGACAAAACCTCAGAAAAAGAAATGAAACACACATAAACCATCCACCTGATAAGAGATTTCAAAGTAAAGATCATAAAGATGCTCAACAAACTCAGGAGAAGATGAAGGAACACAGTGAGACCTCAAGAAAGAGACAGAAAATATAAGAAAGTTCCAAATAGAAGTCACAGAGATGAAGACTACAATAACCAAACTGAAAAATACACTAGAGGGGTTCCACAGCAGAGTGGGCGAAGCAGAAGAATGGATCTGTGAGCTGGAAGACAAAACAAGGGAACTCATCAGGTTAGGGCAGCAAAGAGAAAAAAGAATTTTAAAAAGTGAAGATCCCCTAAGGGACCCACAGGAGCTCATCCTCACCAAACCAGTCCTGCAAGAAATGTTAAAGGGGCTTCTTTAGGCTGAAAAACAATGGCACTGATTAATGACAAAACATATGAAAGTAAAAGTCTCACTGGAAAAAAATGTGTAGTGAAGATAGTGGATTAATCATTTATAAAACTGGTATGACAGTGGAAAGACAAAAGTAGTAAAATTAGCTGAAACTGCAATAATTAGAGGATACACAAAATAAAAAGATGTAAAGTGTGATATCATGGGGTGAGGGATGAGTAAAATGAAAAAAAAAGAAAAGAAAAGATGGATCTTCCATGAGAGATGCATTCTAATGATGAAATTTTAAGGAAAATTGATGAGTAAGTGATTTATAGCTGAAAACTTTCCTATCATGCAATTCTGACTTTTTATTTTCATATTCCAATTCCTGTTATACGTAAGACAGGGTTCTATATGGAGATTTTTATAAATAATATTTATAGTTTCAGACAATTATAATATAAAGATTATATACTTAATTCTTGGGAGAAAATCAAAGAAAATTTTAAGAAATCGAAAGACAGCTCTTCTTTCCTAATTAAGGGATATCTTCAAGAAATTGAAAAGAGAAAGTGATAGAGGTACATATGAAAGAACTACAATGGCGTCCACAAAGCAAAGAAAATTTCAACATTCTGGTATTACCCCCAGAAGAGGGAAGAATTTGTGCAGAGTTAAAATATCTAAAAAGTAGAAGTTGCATTTAAGAGAAACTAAAAAGAGAAAGGACAAAACAGGAGGACAAAAAAATATCAGAAACTAAACTGGGGAGACTAAAGAAAATGATTTTCATCCAGTTTTATAGAAAAATAGATCCATGTGCTCAAACAGTATTAGCAGCTGCTCTGTTGAGTCTTTGAAAGTTCTGAGTGGATGATTGGTGGGGGGAGAGGGACTGTTCTGATTTTATTGCCATTTCTTCCACACTGACATCAACTGTAATCTTCTGAATTAGTTGTCCCATTAGTTGTACCGGTTACCTATGGCTATGTAACGAAATACCCCACAACTAGTGGGTAATTGTTGATGATTCCCTGGCTGGCAACTTAGGCTAAGCTCAGATTGGCAGATCTTCTTCTGGAATCACTCATGAGATCCCCCAGAATTTGACAGATTACTTGGGATAACTGAACCAAGATGGTTTCATATGTCTGGGACTTGGGGCTGGCTGTCCCTCTCCATATATTCCCTCATTATTAAGGAGAACAGCTCAGACTACTTCACCCGGAAGTCTCAGGCAGCAAGAAAGATCAAACGCCAATGCACAAGTGCTTTTTGAGCCAACCTGTGTCATGCTGCTGATGTCTCAAGAGCCAAAGCCATATGGCCCTGCCCCTGTTTCAAGGGGGAAGCAAACATATTTCATTTCTTTGGAAGGAGCAGAAAAGTCACATTGCACAGGACATACTAGAGGAAGATGAGGAACCTGTGACCATTAAACAATCTGTCTCAAATATCTCATAATTTATTTCTGAGTGTTCTCCAAATGCTCAAGATGGCTGTGGAATTCATATCTGCCACTACCAGCAGTCGATATGACCCACTGGGAGCTGACAAAGGAAATCAGAATGAGCAAAGATCTCAGAGAAATAATGTGTTAGTACTCATTCATAAACTGTAACAAATGCACCATACTAATGCAAGAGGTTCATAATAGGGACAATTTGTTGCAGGGTATATGGGAAATCTCTGTACTACCTTCTTGTTTTTTTCTATAAATCTAAACCTCTTATGAAAAATAAAGACTATCTTTTAAAATGTATCAAAAGTACACAGAATTGAATATAATTAATATGCAGCCTAATATGTAGACTACAAATTAAGGTCACATCTCTTAATATTCAGATTAGTGGCTCCTAGTGTCCATCTGGTAACCATGAAACTATCTTGTCTTTCCTTAGAAACAAAAACTGGGGAAATCTGACCAACTCACAGAAGGTCCTGTCGGCCCAGGGGTCCTATTGGCGTCCCAGGGCATCCGTGCTGGCAGGGTCTGGCCCCACAGCCTAGCCCCACTCTTAATGGTCCCAGACATCACCACTAGCATCCTAGGGTCTTGGATACTACTCATGCCTATATCGTCTCCAGTGCTCAAAGTTCAAGGGCAACACCTGTGCTCAAGCCTAAAACCACTGAGAATAATGGGATTGCTAATAACCAACATTTACTGAGTGTCAAGCATATACTCATGCACTTTGCAAGCAACCCATTCCTCACAGTCATCTAAGGAAAGTTTATTTTATTACATGCTCATGATGATGTTTGGCAGTTTCTTATAAAATTAAATACACTTACACCATTTATACCAATCCCACTCCTAGTTATTTACCCAAGGGAATGAAAACTTACATTCACATCAAAACCTGTACGTGCATGCTTATAACAGCATTATTCATAGTAGTGAAAAACTGGAAACACCTGTCCTTCAGTGGAGAATGAAAAGACAGATGCAAGTATGACCATGCTGTGGAATACTGCTCCGCAATTCAAGAAACAGCTACTGATACACACAACATGATTTCACTTACTGCACGCGCAAGATGTTTACCTGTTCTTCTGTCCCCTGTGTTTCCTGTATACAGATCCCAGCTCCCTGTATACAGAGATTTTGAGATTTAAATTCACATTTTTTTGATAAGCTTACTTCATAAGTTTGTCCATTAGCAGGAATATAATATCTGATAGTCTCTTGGGAAGTCAACAGCACTGATAATCATTGTTGGTACAGCAACTCACTACGGACTTACAAGAGTATTCTGATAAATTCTAGTCCTATAAAGCCACATGTTGTCCAGCTTCTGTTCACCAATACAAGTCCATTTTCTGTCCTTTGCCTAAGAAATTTCAGCCACCCCAGGCTGTCCTGCTTCTGGCCAGGCAGAGCTGGCAGCAAACTCAGAAAAGAGCACAGCCCTCCAGCTTCCAGAACCCCCAGATAGGAGCTTTATGATGTGATGTCGTTCCCCAAACAGTCCATGAAAGACACCAGAGGTAGAGAGAAAATGCAGTCTCCAGCAGGACTAGGACGAGTTTCATTCTGAGTTCCATGTGGAAGAGTGACAGGACCATGGAGTCACCTATGAAACTCCTGGCATTTTTTTAGAGTTGGAAAAAAAATGTTGCACTGAAACTCTGTGTTTTCTTTAGATCACAGTTTCAGAATGCTTTGGGGAACTTGAAAGGGAAGTTCCTATAGCTCTGTGTGTCAGAGATGGGAATTTGCCAGGGCTGAGTAATAACTCTCAATGTTCTGACCTCGGGGATGCTAAAGAGTCTAAAGATTGTGAAAAGACAGCTCCAGGAAAAGTGTCAGCATTTTGGCTGCAATCTAGGGCAAAGGCTAAGTCTTGTCCCGAAGCTACATTACGTAACATAACTGTTAGCTAACCAGAGTGAAGGCAGTGACTCAACAGCTTTTCAGAGGAGCACCCATACTTCTTAAGCTAACCAAGTTGTCTGTACTCATCAGGCTTTAGCTAGAAGTCAGTGTCATGGTCCCTAACGTGACACTGCAGAAATGGAGAAATACAGCACTGCAGCGAGCTGACAGCACTGCTTTCTGCCCAGTTGGCAGTCATCACATCCAGTGGCTAACCTCAGGGGGGCACGAAGTAACAAGCACACAGTGCGTTTCCATGCCTGGAGCCTATCATGAGCATGTCCTGTGCAGTTGAGCAGGGTAAACTCACCCCACAAACACACCAAACAGGAGTGATGGGAAGGAGAAGTATACCTGTTTCATGTCTGGGCCTGGGTTGGTCCCATGATGTCCAGAACTGGAGCCTCATGGTGTCCAAAGGAAAATGAGCCACAGTGCAGGGTTTGAAACATCATGCAAATGACTTCAGAGGATGTGACAATGTCTGTAGGAAAGAAGATACAGGCAGGACAGGAGAGTTACTCACATATTGTGAAAGAGAATTCCACTGCTCTCAGGGGAGGGAGCAAGGCCACGGAGAAATGGAGAGGAGAAGGGAGATTTTAGCTCCCTGTGTTTTCTACAAGTAGCCCTTTCTGAAATGGGTAGAGCTGCCTGGAGAATAGAGTGCTTCCATTGCCCGGTTGTTTCAGCCAAAGCTGGATGCACATCGTGATGACTACAAAGGCCCCATTCTGCTCCAACAGAAGCCAGGACTGGGAATTCTTCCTGGATGCCTGGCCACAGACCAATGCCATTGGTTATACTAACCAAAAGGTCATACCCTCGCAAGCATAGGTTTCATCATTACTCCCACATAACAGATGAAGAAACTGAGGTTCAGAGAGGCTACATGACCTGCCCAGAGGTGCCCAACCATTAGGTGACTGTGCTGAAACTGCATGCTTAATGAGGCATTAAACGCTAAGCCCGTGAGGAAGAAAAGTTATTATTTTAAAATATTATCCAAATTCTGCATTCCTACAGCCCTGAATGAAATTCTATCAAGTATAAAACCTAACAAATCCCTCATGCATCTGATCGCACACTGATGTGCTTCTCTGCTGAAAATCCATCGGTTTCATAATTAACAAAAAGAAATAGAATTAACAGGCTCTTTCTGAAACTTCATCTAGGAATCCCAGAAATTAGAGTTGTGTTAGTATCATAAAATCAATGCAGTAATTTCCTAATCTAGTCATTTACATGTTTTTGCTGCAGTCATACTTGTTTTATCTTGTGGCTGTGCTACCTCTACATTGGTCAGCCTCAAAGTGTGGTCTAAGGACCTTTGGGGGTCCTCAGAATACTTTTAGGGGGGTCTACAAGATTGAAGCTATTTTCACACAAGTATGAGTACAGTTGACCCTTGAACAACGTGGGTTTGACCTGTGTGAGTGCACTGATATGCAGATTTTTTCAATAAATATATGGTAAAACTTTTGGAGACATGACAATATGAAAAAACATTTTCTTTTCTCTAGCTTACTTTATTGTAAGAATACAGTATATAAAACATATAACATATAAAATATGTGTTAATCGATTGTGTTATTGGTAAGGCTTCTGGTCGATGGTAGGCTCTTGGTAGCTAAGTTTTGATGGAGTCAAAAGTGAGACATGGATTTTTGACTGCATAGGGGTTTGGCACCCTTAACCCCCACAATGTTCAAAGATCAACTATACATTGCTTAGTCCCTTTTCATCCTCCTTCTCTCATTCTTATCTTTCAGTGATGGTTTTTCCAGAGGTTTCATAATGTAAGACGCCACAACAGATTGAATGGAGAAGCAAATATGGGAATCCTGGTGTCTTCTAGAAAGCCAGACATTAAAGAGATTCCCAAAGTCATAAAATCTTTTTTTACAGTTATTTTTTATTTTGAAGAATAGCTATTTCCATAAAATTTATTGATGCTAACATGTAACTTTTTTTAAACAAATTGATAAATACCTTTTTAAAAATGTCTCAGTTTTAAATTCTAATACTATAAATATCGACTGCTAGAACCACCATAAACAAGAGCTTCCTGGGATCTTCAATAAATTTTTAAGAGTATAAATGAATATGTGCCATATGTTTATGATTTAAAATTGTTTAATTAATAGCAATTTATCTTACTTGGTTTTAAATTTCACATACCACAAAAGATGTTTTCCTGGATTCTATTTTCAAGCTATGATATCTACCCTCTCCTTCTAATGGCTTCCAGGAATCTGAAGTCTCCCAACCTTCCAGGTAGGGCTCAACCAATGGCAACCCAAAGGCCTCGCCTTCTAGTAATTGTACTTGTATTTCTCAGATTTAAAGATTATACTAGCTTTTGAAGGTTGTAACCTTATCATTTGAGCATTTATTCCTCTCACCTCATAGGTACTTTCCTGGAACTTAACTCCTTGGCCATCTGAAGAATATGCCATTTTAGTCACCATGTCACAGAGTCACTGATATTTCTTGTTAATCTATGTACCACAGTCAGCAACTATGAAGAGTTGGAGATTTGACCCTATTTGCCAGCTAACAATTTAGCATGACACAATTTCATGGATATTGACAGAAGACATGAGAGTCCTGGGTCAGAAACAAAGGACTGTATTAGTATAATAGCAGTAGCCAGAGTGCCAGCATTGGGCCACTTCTCCAAGTCCCAATTCCTACAGGGATGAAGTGGGCCAGGGGATACCTGCATGAACACAGAGTTGAGCTATAGGAGAGGAACATCAAAATTAGGGAATCCAAATATTTATAATGAGCAGTAACTTGGCTGATCTTTGCTCCAGAAGAAGATACTTTTATTACACTGGACAGTAAGTAAACCTGTCTTTTGCTCCAGGAGACATCAATCTTCTAAGGCTGTTTACGACAACCATTCTTGAGTAAATAGTACCCATCAAAAGCATTTGATGCCTCTGTAAATAAGATACAGAGAAACACAGAGACTGACAAGAACTGTCTCCCAACAACCACTGCTTCTGTTTATACACAGTATTCAGTTCTGGATTCAAATTCACACCATTTTCATTTCGTTGATGCCTGATAGTTTAGAGAATATCTGGCATGTAATCCTGGCCAGTGTTTTTCTTATAAACACTGTGATTATCCTTAGCAAGAGTTTTCAGGGGGTTTTCCCCTTCCACCCAAGCTAAGGTATTGGGCACTCTCTCTATGTAAATTCAGAAAGAAATTTACAAAGATATCAAATTAAGAAATAAAGTTAGGGGAGGAGAGGTTTTCAAAATAAACACCAAATGAAAAACTTATTCTAGAGGGTCCCTGGAAGGAAACAGATAAAATCATCCCTTGTTCTTGTCAGAGGGAGGTTCTTACTCTTATATAAATAAACTTTCTCCTAAAGCAAATAAATATGATGTTCAATCCAATATTCACCATTTAAAATCTACTTAAATTCCTGAAAGCATACCCAAGGCACTAATAGTAACAGTTCTTTTGGAAAGAACAGCTTTGATCAGAAGAAGGAAGAGCACTTCCACTTTACTGCATTTTTCTCCGGTTTGACTTTTATGGTGATGGTAATTTAACATTTTTATTTGGAGTTTGCTTTATTGCCTCCTTTGTGTGGACTACCTGGCCAAGGAGTCCCCACACTGAAGCTGTCTATTCTTTGCACCTTCACCCAGCAACGGACTGGGTTGGCCGCAGTAAGCAAAGCAGTCCAGCAGGGGTTATCAGGCACGTCCAGTGAGAAGAACCCACCCAGATGAATCCTCTGGAACAAACCTGCCATGCCACTCAAACTAGACAGAGAAATGTTTCAAACCACGCTGTCCTGGATACTCTCGTTAAACAGTCTTGAAAATGAAGGCAGACCTTGCCAATTCCAGGGGTTTGGAAGATAAAAATACTGGACAAAGTCTTTGTATTTGAGACAGATATACTATGAATTTCAAATTACCTCTTTAAGGGAAGACAACTGGTACTCTGAAAAATCCTGAAATTTGAAGGGGACACTTCCCATGGAAGTCTAGGCTTGTGCATTGTTATTATCTTCTATAAATTATTAGCACACCATAGTGGAAAGAACCTGAGATGGGGAGTCAGTAACAGTGAGATTTGCAGTCCAAATTCACCATTATTGGCTGTGTGACCATGAGCAATTTACCTCTCTGAATTTCAATTGGTCATCTGAGAAATGAGGATAAAAACACCTACCTCCATTTGATTGCTGTAGGTAAAGACCTTGGTACAAAGTCTGGCCTGTAGTGAGTGTTTGGTAAAGTGTCATGGTATTGACAGTGGGGGATGACAACTGTTCTCCACAGTGTGTGGATCATCAGTTCATGTTTGCTGAGGATGATTTGTGGCCCAAGTCAGAGCTCAGTGCCCACTTAGAATGGGATGAAGAGCTGGTTGTTAAGAGTGTGGATTCTGCAGTCATGCTGCATGGGTTCAAATCCCGACTCCACTATTTCCTGGTTGATCATGGACATGTTCATAACTTCTCTCTGCTTTAGTTTCTCCATATGTGAAGTAGAGACGAAAACCAACCTCACACAGTGAAATGTTACACAGCTTGCCGCTTAGACAGCACTAAATCATAACACAAATAACACTATTAACTTGTATTATTAGAGGGCAAGTCCAGGAGTCAAGCAGAATCATTCCCCAACCTGAAATTAAAAGTAATCAGGAAATGCAATTTTCACTTTTAGAAACAGAAGGGCCTCAGTGATCAGGGTATTTAGAAGAACTTTCTGAGAAGCAGCAGCTGTCAGAAAGGAAGGGCTGGACTCCAGAGTTTCCTGTGTTCTTTCAGTTTTGTGGGAAGATAAACTGGTAGCCTGCACAGCAAGCTTTTAAACTTCTTGCCTATGAGCTGCACATTTACACAGCAGGTACTTATCAACCAAATTTGCCAATTTGCTTTTCAAACTACAGCAGTAGAGGAGTTTGAACCCTTACCTGGTAATGGGAGGAAGCCCCCTGGGAGACACCACTAAATTTAAATAGATTCTTTCACAATAACACAATAGACCTTTGTCATTCAAGAGTAATTATGAGACCCACAGATCATCACACAGATGACAACAGAAACCACATGTGAGCAGGTGACAGCTTTTCCATACCTAACATTTCTTCAAGGGGCATATTTTCTGTGCAGAAACAAACTCAAACCATTTGTTAACAATAATTTCAACTTTGAGTAACTTTTCTCATGTTTAATGGCCATTTTTCACAAATAAATACATTCTTTTTCAATTCGGACACTTACTGAATGCACTGAATACTGCCTGCAGCCATGCTGCCCTGGTTCAACCTCGGATCAGCAAGGGACTGTGGACTTAATACCCAGAGGCTTGTTCTTTAGGGCCTCACATTCCACCATTAAATAACAGCTGGAGCAAGGCTTCCCCACTTCCACAGCCTCCACACCCTTTTGTTAGCCCACAAACATAAACCTCCATTCAACAACCTGCATGAACACCGGCGTCATAGCAGGCCCAGTTAGGCCCCAGCGCTGCAGGGATGGACAGGCATGGCCCTGACCACGAAGAACCCAGGCCCCTAGGTCATCATCAACTTTTTTTCCCCTCACAGTTCATCAGTGATGCAGACAGGAGAGTTTCTCATGCTCCTGAGTCATACGCTCTCAGATTTACTTGCCTCATTAGCTGTTGTCCTGGAAAATCTGTCACCACCTGCCAGGATGAATTCCACAATGTCACATGGTTTGGGATAAGAAATAGGCTTTATTGGACAAAGAGAAAATTAAATAGGACCAGGGTCAGCCAGAGAGAAGGCATAAGACTTTACTTTGAGAAACAGGTACAAAAAATAGAACAAACATAAGCAGCTTTCATAAAGAAAATCAGAAAGCCAAAGGCTTTGGAGAATGGGATTTCCAAGAGCCTGTTAAATTATTAAATCCAGTAATATACTTCATATCAACTCTACTTCCCGTAAGTGCTCCAAATCAGTGATTTTTACCAGTGCAACCAAGGATAAAGAATTCATTCCACTTCCACCCCTAGGTCTCCATGGGATTCACATTATGCCCTGCTGATCAGACCTGCCTCCACTCACGCATTTGAGTTCTCAGCTTCCTGTGTGACTCAGAGCAGCGGGGTTTTCTCCTAAGTCCATTCTCTTTGCCAAAAGTAAACCTGTTTTATTGTTACACGTTATGGGCCTCACTTTCCTGGGATTTATCATTATGCTTCTGCTCTCTCCCCATACCCCCATACAGTTTTGTATTCTGCTCTATTTTGTTTTTTCCAATGCCCATCACAACTGCCTACATCATTTCACAATCCACTCTTTGAAAAAAAACACATCTATTGTAAAAGCTCCATGAGAGCAAGGATTATGTCCATCCCAGTCTCTGTAACACATCCAGCATTGGGGGATCTGCTTATGCTGAATAAATGGATGAATAATCAAATGAGTGAAAAACCATACAAGGTCCTCTTAAACTTCAAAGCCAAAGAGATGGCAGATTTTACTGCTGGGAAGAGCAGAGCATTTCGGGGCTAGTTCTTCATCTTCATGTGTCACATTAAAATTGAAGGAATAAGAGTCAATTTTAGTTTCCCAGTCTCCAAACTCTTCCATTCATTCACTTTCCTCAAAGAGTTTTTGTTGACATATTAGGGTATTCAAGGCTAAAAATCATAACTTTAACCCATCTCAAAACAGAAGTCTGCCAATCAAACTTTTTGGGGCACCATATGGAACACAAAATAAATTAAGACTCCCCAGTTAAATGCTGTCTGCCTGGATACTCATCTGCTCTGGTTGGGTAAGGTGTGGTCAGACCATAAAGCAGATCAGTGTGCCCCACGCCCTGCCCAGGGCATCTGGTTCTACCATGTTCTTAGAACAGGTTCTGCCTGGCTTTGGCTGGGGGACTCCTTATATTCCTAGCATTCCCAAGGTTGTGTTGGCCCTAGAGAGACAGATTTTGGAAAAGTGTGACAAATTTTGAAAACTCACCACTAGCTGGCATCAAATATTCATCAAGTCATTCGAGGAACTGGTTCTTCTGTGTTCTTAACTCATCTCTAGCTAATAAAATGCCATTACTTTTCAGTGTAGTGTTTTCCTTGGCAGCTGCTAAGCTGTTATGACTATTTTTTGAAGGTATCTCTATAATCAGCAACATTTAATGCTAAAGTGGATGCACAAGAATCCTGTGAGGGTCCAGTGTGTGAAACAGGATCTCCATGCATGTGACCTGGCCAAGAAGCAGTTCTCTGTAAGCCATAGTTATCAAATTTCTACACAGTCTATTTTCATAAGCAGACTTCGAAGACTAAGGGTAGAAGGGTATATACAACCAAAAGAATGGGCAAAAATTAGTTCAGAGTGACACAATTCAGTGTTCAGATTTTGACATTTCTTCTGCATGAAAACAAAAAAGGTCAAGGTTTCAATTGGGCCACAATATGATATTCAGGTTATTGTTCTGTTGTGTTTTCTCCTCTCACCCTGATAGAACTTACCTGAATGGGGAATTTCAAGTGCATGAGGCAAGTCTCAAGACTTGAGTCTCTAGTGGCCAATTAGACTTGGCATCTTTCATTTGGGTGCTAAGACTGATATTCATCAAATAAGAGCCCAGGCAGGACTGTCTGTTACTCATCAAATCTTGCATGAGCCTAAACACTGTCCAGCTACAAATGGTAATAGCTAACATTTATTGAGCATCTACTGCATGCCTGCTAATGTGTCAAGTCCTGTTTAGGCATGTTTCATCAGAAGGTACTACTAATGTCACACCCATTTTATGGTAAGTGAGAAAAAGCTTATTCATGTATCATCCCCAAGGTCACACAGCTAGGTAATAGTAGATCTGGGTTCAAATCCAGGTCTAATTAACCCTATGTTATGCCACCCCCTAAGACCAATAAACTGCCAGGAAAGAAGTTTTAAGCCCTTCATGGCATTTTCCTGTGCCACAAGGCAGTTCACAGGGCAAGGCTGATCTTGGAGCTCCTCTGCAGCACATCTGCTGTGCAGCCTCCAAGGGGCCCAGCCAAGGGGTTCATTATAAAGACTCTATGGCACCTTACATAACCTGTTTCCATAGAGTTGGGATATGGAATATTGACTGCTGGACATGAGCCCCATACACATGCATGTGAGTCACGTGAAGGCCACACAATATCAGATGTGAGAAACTGGACTTGGATTATAGAGAGCCTTATGTCAACATATACATCCCTATATGTCTCTCTATATATGTATGTTTATATATATATGACTATATGCCTATATATAATAAATATTATATACATAAAATAGCACTTTTTATGTAATACATGTAATATTATGTTGTAATTATTATATAATTATACATGTATTTATATATGTAATATATGTTGGATATGTAGAACAGCACTTAACACTTTTCAAAATACCTCCTCTTCTCATTTGGTTCTCACAGTATAGCTGGGAGGTAGGAAGACAGGCATTGTTATCCCTGTATAACATACAGGGTAAGGCTGTGCCAGGCTGACTTCACTGGTATGCAGTCAGTGTCACCATGACTCCACACTCCAATGTCCCAGAACTTGGGGGTTAATTAATTATTAATTAAAACGTACTGATTTGATCTTTGAATCTGTGCTTTGCAGGTGGAGTCTTACAGGACAGAGGAACACTGTTTGTGCTGTGAACGGTTGGAGTCTCAGCTCACCCACAGTCCTGACCCCTGCGGCTTCCTTGCCTCCCTCACTGCAGCGCCCAGACCTTGCTGCCCCCCACTGCCAGTGGTGGGGCAGGGATAGGGCTGGCGCAGGGTGCGTGTAACTCACGTACCAAGTCACACCGGGAGGAGGGGTAGTGTCTGTGAGGGTCTGTACTCACCCTGCAAGTATCCGTGTGCCCCTGGGCATGAGACATTAAAGAGAAAATAAGAAACACTATGACAGGTTAAGAGAGAGACTGCAAAGAAAGGAAACAGCTTTTTTTCTGCCTGTAGAACAAGAGGCCCCACATATTCACTGTGCACTGGTCCCTGCAAACTATGTACCCAGCCCTGGCTCTGCGAGTTGCTCAAAGTTCTAAAAGCAGTGCAGAGCCCAGCTGGGCCTTTGGACAACTGGCCTACATTGCTTCCCATTGCATCAGGCTAGGAAAGAGACACTGTCTTACAAAAAGAATTCAGTCAGATTTCCTTAAGCAACAGTCTCCCTTGAGACATTGAAAAACCAGATTCTGCTAATAAAAATAATTGTTATGCACATTTAGAATGAATGTTCCCTAGGGTAGACTTTTTGTCCCAAATGCCTGGAACAGTGCCTGGCACACCGTTGATGCTTAATAAGTATTTATTGAATAAGCAAACCAGTTACTACTCAGAAATCTATCTATTGAGAGGAGTTCTCCAGAAGGCAGAGCCTGTGTCTTTCTTCTAATTCCTCCCCAAGATAAGCACAAAGCTGAGCTCTGTGGAGGAACCAGGTTCATTTTTGCTAGTGGATCATTTGGTTATCTGATCAAACAATCGAACAGGTAAAAGCCAACAAGCCATCTTTTTATCCAGTGAATTCCCACTCACTCTGTCTTTACATCCATATCTGTGCACCTGATGGCCACCAAGGGCCCCTGGATAATGCCAGATAATGTCCTGAGCATTGTGCAAATGCTCACTGATGAACGACCACGAGGTAAATGGCATGGAGAACTCACCTCAGGAAGGAATATGCAGACCTGGCCCCTCCCTCAGCCTCTGTCTGGCCAGGTGCCTCTTTGTCGGTCAGGGCTGAAAGCAGGGGGCCAGGCTCACACCCAGTCATGTGAGGCCTCAGAAGGCAGTCCTGGGCACACAGGCAGGAAGTTGCAGTGGTGAGCCGTGGTAGCTCCAGTCTGCAACATGTCACAGATTTCACAGAATGTGGATGCAGCTCTCGTAAAGCACTGACGACAGAGCCACAGAGGCTTGTGATCTTTTCCTGGGTTACCTGAAAACTTCATGCCAAGGAGTTAGTGACGCAGAGACAGTTTGAGCAAGGATGCCCAGTAGGTAAGCCTCCTGTTCAAGTGAGATTGTTACTCTACAGCAACACATTCAGTTGCATATAACTGTCAGAAACAAGCCTCATTCACACCACACCCAACTTCATGCAGAAATATTTCTCCACCACTGGGGAATGAGGTTGTCTAACCTGGAAAAGAGATGTTGAAAGCTATGTTAATGTCATTTAGGTATCTAAAAACTTAATTGGTTTTAAAAAAGTGAGAAAATTGCTGATCAACTGTTCTCCATGTTCACAAAGAACAAAACAGAAGGAAACACTAACATTTTTAGAAAGAGACTGAAGAGACTGAGCAGGAGATTTTCAATGTAAGGATGATTAATGTATGAAACAGCCTTTTGAGAACAATTATAAAGGCTCGCTTGCTAAAGAATCAAGACAAAGTACTCATATGTTTATTCAACAAATGCAATAAACCCCTAACAAGTGCATAGCAGTAAGCTAGGTGCCAGGGCAAGCACAAAAAGAAATACAAAACAGAGGTAATAGGAGAGATGGGATTCCCATGTGACACAGTGAAAAGCCACAACCACCCATTCATTCAACATACGTGTAAGGGATTGCCATGCAAAAGACGCATATGCCAGACTCCAGAGCAGTTAATAAAATTCAGTAAGAGTTCTGCTTCTAGGATAAGCTGGACTAGAAATCCCAAAACTGTATTGCTACAAAACCTAAAAACTTAGATGAAGTACAAAGTTCAGGGTTTTAAATGAGTGGATAAGCTTATAAGAACCTAATGAAACTCCCCCAAGAACAGAGCAGAAGCATAAATTCAGGAGGCAAGCCAGCAATGATTCTGTGGCTAATCCAGAAACATCTATCATCTACCCATCTTACCTCTGTTTAAACAGCCTTATTTAGGGACATGCAAGACAAGCTTTATGTACCATTCAGAAGCGAGTCAAATCAATTAACATCCTCCATATCCTACATTGTGTGTGTGTGTGTGTGTGTGTGTGTGTGTGTGCCCAGACCCAGGAAAGGGCTGGATCCTCAGAAAAGGGTAAGTCACACATTCATAGCACAAAAAATAGGTCTATTTCTGCTTTGGCTCTGGGATAAGGTTGTAAAATCCTCCCTAACTATTCCTAGCCACCAATCAGCCCTTATGTCAGAGGAGTTTGCACAGCCTAGAAAGACATAAGAGGCAACTTTTGGTTTAAAGTGCACGTAGTTTGACAATGTCTTCAGGGCCAGGAAGAAGCCAACACAAATCCCTTCTGAAAATAAGTACACTCAAGCAGCTAGGCCTGACATGGTCCCCAGGGAAAATGACCAGTTAGCACAGGCTCACATTGAAAAACTATAAAACACGTGGAAACAAGACACCATAAGCAAGAATGTACAGAAAGAAGAAAAAATAGGAACCTCTTCAAAAGAACCTCAACATTACAATTAACTAAATATACCATTACTATAACCACAAAGTGAAGAGCAAACACTGGCTAGACACAATTATAGAGTGACTTAATAAAGGATAGCTCTAAATGAATCACCCACACTGTACCCTAGAGAGACAAAAGATTGAAAAAGGGAGAACATTAAAGACAGGCTAAGTGACATAGAGGAGTGAGAACACCCAACTCAACTTGCATCAGGGTATAGAAAGCAAAACCAGAGAAAGTGGGGGTGAAGCAATTTTGGAAAAGCTGAGTGAGAATTTCCAACATCGATATAACATATTCAATAAGCCTAACAAATGCCAAGCGGAATTTTTTAAGCACATACGTATGGGAAACTTCAAAATAACAAGAACTAAAAGATCTTAAAAGAAGCCAGAGAGAAAAGACAGATTATCTAGGAAGGAAGGAATGAAAATAAAATGAATACTATATCTCAATAGCAGAAGTGGAAGTAAGAAAACTACAGATTAATATCCTCAAGGTTAGTGCTACGAGAAAGTGACTGTGAACCTAGAATTGCCTGCTCAATGAAACTACCTTCCAAGAAAGAGTGAAATGGACACCTTTCCAGGGAAAAATAAACTGAGAATGATGACCATGAACAGAGCTTCAAAAACAAACTCTTAAAAAATAGACTTTAAGAGAAAGGATATAATAGTTTAGCAAACAGAAAAATTATCTATATTTTCATTATCTCTGGATGGTGATTATTTTCTGTCTTGCTATATGTCCTTTGAATCTTTTCTACCCTACTTTTTTTCAAAAATGAAACACACACATGTATATAATGACTTTAAATCTGCTTTTCCCTCCTCTGTTGTTAACATCTTTTCATGTCAGTACATGTTCTTTATTATTAAAGTTTGAGTAATAAAAAAAAGAAAAAGGATATAATCACAGAGAAATGGTGTGAGATACAAGAAAGGATTGTGAGTAAATGAAGTGTAGGGAATCGAGGGAAACCTAGACAAACAAAGGCAATGCGAGACAAGACAATGCTTAGTAAGTGAGATTAAAAATGAGCAGCATCAGCACATGGACATGGAGTTAAGAGATTGGTGTTGAAGCATCTCAGGTTCTTTGATTTGAAAGGAGAATGAAGTTTATTTATTAGCTTTGGGTTTTATAAAATATTCATGTTAAATCATCAAGGGCAACCAATGAACAAACAGATAACTTACCAATGGAGGGAAAAATGGATGAAGAAAAATACCCAACTCCACCTGGTTTAGGCCTCAGAAACATCATTTTGTGCCAAACCAAGTTCACACAATAAAAGTTGATTTACATAAAGTTTTTAAAAAATAATAATATGCTTATTAGGGATACATAAAAACTTGGCAAAATGATGAAGAAAGGTAAAGAACTAACAAAATCAGGATCATAATTAGTTCTAAGAAAGGAATGTAAAAAGACATCTGGTGGTGTTTATTTCATAACTTGTGGTAAGACCTGTATGCTCTTTCATCAGTTTCACTGTATTAGTAGTAGTAGTATTTGAAATGTAAACAGGTATTACCAATATTGTTCTAAGTTTGAAGTGTCTTTATACTTCAATTAGCTTACTCTTGCTGAGAAATGCACCACACCAAACTCGGTGGTTTTAAGCAAAAATCTTTTATAGTCATTCATGCATGAGCAGATCCTCTGGGGCTCAGCTAATCTAAGCTCAGTTTGATAAGGGGCAAAGAAATATGCTCTGCTGCTTGGGAGGAACTTAAATGAGATGGCAAAAGTCACATAAGAGAGAAGTGAAAATGTGGGGTCTATAATGCCCCATATCACAGCTCTTAAGAAATTAGTTTGTCCTTTTTTTTTAAAATTAACTATCATTGATATACAATCTTATGAAGGTGTCACATGAGCAACATTGTGGTTACAGCATTCACCCTTATTATCGAGTCCACCCCCCTACACACACCCCTTTGCAGTCACTGTCTATCAGAGTAGTACAATGCCATAGAGTCATTACTTGTCTTCTCTGTGCTATATTATTTCATCCTTTTTATCATGTCAAAATATACATAAAACAAAATATACCACCTCAACCATTTGTAAGCGCAGAGGTCAAGGTCATTAAGCACCTTCACACTGTTGCGCAGCTCTCAGAACCATCCATCTCCAGGACTCCTTTCATCTTGGAAAACTGAAGCTCTCTAACCATTAAATATGAACAGCTCATTCCTCCATCCCACCAGCCCCTGTAGACTACCATTTACTTTCTGTCTTAATGAATTTGATTACTCTATGTAACTCATATAAATGGAAAAATACAGTATTTTTGTGTGTGTCTGTCTCTTTCTGTAAAGCTCTGCTACTCCATGCAATCAGTTCCTGAGCCCAGATTTCAGCTTGGTCTGTCCTCTAACCTTAGGAGAAATAAGGATCACTTTAGTGCCCCCAAGGAAACCCTCTGTCTTCTACACTTTGCCTTGCATTGATGGCTGATAGCCCTGAGTCTACATTCTTGCTTCAAAGCATCACCCAAGCCTCCCAGTTCCACAGCTCTTTGAATCCTATGATATGCCTTTCAAACATATGAGGTATTATATAAGCCAGTGCATCTATTTGCAGCCCAGGGTAATATAGGTAAAAATCTGCAGTCATATCAGTACTGTGCACCAGGGAGGAAAAATACTACCCATGCCACTGGTGACACTGCAGATGATGGTGGAGGAGATGCTCTGGTCATCAAAAATGTTGGTAGTAATACACAATGGGAAGAAGCAAACGGACACCACATCATAACATACACAAAATCAACTACAGATAGATTATAAACCTAAATGTCAGAAGCAAAACAATAAGCTTTTAAAAAATATTCTATTGGCCTTAAAATAGAAAGGGTTTCTTAAACTAGATACATATATACATATATGTGCACACATGTGCAATTGGAGCCCAGAGATTCTCTTACACACGTGCACCAAGAGACCTGAAAAGAATGTTAGTGGCAGAGTTGCTAAAAAAGCAAAATGGCTTGTTTCTTGATGGGAGACTAGATAAACAAATCACAGTATTTTCTTATAACGGAATATACTGTACATACCAGACCAACAGTGAAAATGCATGGACTATAGTTGACCAGGTCCATCTGAATGAACCCACAAAATTTTAAAAGCAAATTGCTGAAGATTTTGGAAAGTATGATATTGTTTTTGTAAAGTTCAAAATCAAGCAAAATAAATAATGTTTAGGAATTCATACAAACATCGTTAAAAACTCTAAGGAAAGCAAAGAAATGTAAACCTGAGCATGGCAGTCAGCTCTGGATGCCAGATTAGAGAGGAGGTCGAAGGATATTTAAGAATACCAACTTCATTAATAAAATGTGTGTTAGATGCTTTTCTACAGATCTAACAGTTCATA